CACCCTGTCATTACGCCTTTTCCAAATCCATAAATGCCACAAAGACCTCTTTAGCCTTATCTAAATACTGTTCACTTATATGTTTCACTGTAAACACCTGGTCCACACACCCCCTACCTTTCCTAAAGCCTCCTTGTTCATCTGCTATCCTATTCTCGTCTTACTCTTAATTCTTTCAATTATAACTCTACCATACACTTTACCAGGTACACTCAACAGACTTATCCCCTATAATTTTTGCACTCTCTTTTATCCCCTTTGCCTTTATACAAAGGAACTATGCATGCTCTCTGCCAATCCCTAGGTACCTTACCCTCTTCCATACATTTATTAAATAATTGCACCAACCACTCCAAAACTATATCCCCACCTGCTTTTAACATTTCTATCTTTATCCCATCAATCCCGGCTGCCTTACCCCTTTCATTTTACCTACTGCCTCACGAACTTCCCCCACACTCACAACTGGCTCTTCCTCACTCCTACAAGATGTTATTCCTCCTTGCCCTATACACGAAATCACAGCTTCCCTATCTTCATCAACATTTAACAATTCCTCAAAATATTCCCTCCATCTTCCCAATACCTCTAACTCTCCATTTAATAACTCTCCTCTCCTATTTTTAACTGACAAATCCATTTGTTCTCTAGGCTTCCTTAACTTGTTAATCTCACTCCAAAACTTTTTCTTATTTTCAACAAAATTTGTTGATAACAGCTCACCCACTCTCTCATTTGCTCTCTTTTTACATTGCTTCACCACTCTCTTAACCTCTCTTTTTCTCCATATACTCTTCCCTCCTTGCATCACTTCTACTTTGTAAAAACTTCTCATATGCTAACTTTTTCTCCCTTACTACACTCTCTTACATCATCATTCCACCAATCGCTCCTCTTCCCTCCTGCCCCCACTTTCCTGTAACCACAAACTTCTGCTGAACACTCTAACACTACATTTTAAACCTACCCCATTCCTCTTCAACCCATTGCCTATGCTCTCATTAGCCATCTATCCTCCAATAGCTGTTTATATCTTACCCTAACTGCCTCCTCTTTTAGTTTATAAACCTTCACCTCTCTCTTCCCTGATGCTTCTGTTCTCCTTGTATCCCATCTACCTTTTACTCTCAGTGTAGCTACAACTAGAAAGTGATCTGATATATCTGTGGCCCCTCGATAAACATGTACATCCTGAAGTCTACTCAACAGTCTTTTATCTACCAATACATAATCCAACAAACTACTGTCATTTCGCCCTACATCATATCGTGTATACTTATTTATCCTCTTTTTCTTAAAATATGTATTACCTATAACTAAACCCCTTTCTATACAAAGTTCAATCAAAGGGCTCCCATTATCATTTACTCCTGGCACCCCAACTTACCTACCACACCCTCTCTAAAAGTTTCTCCTACTTTAGCATTCAGGTCCCCTACCACAATTACTCTCTCACTTGGTTCAAAGGCTCCTATACATTCACTTAACATCTCCCAAAATCTCTCTCTCTCTCTGCATTCCTCTCTTCTCCAGGTGCATACACGCTTATTATGACCCACTTCTCGCATCCACCCTTTACTTTAATCCACATAATTCTCGAATTTACACATTCATATTCTCTTTTCTCCTTCCATAACTGATCATTTAACATTACTGCTACCCCTTCCTTTGCTCTAACTCTCTCAGATACTCCAGATTTAATCCCATTTATTTCCCCCCACTGAAACTCTCCTACCCCCTTCAGCTTTGTTTCGCTTAGAGCCAGGACATCCAACTTCTTTTCATTCATAACATCAGCAATCATCTGTTTCTTGTCATCCGCACTACATCCACGCACATTTAAACAACCCAGTTTTATAAAGTTTTTCTTCTTCTCTTTTTTTAGTAAATGTATACAGGAGAAGGGGTTACTAGCCCATTGCTCCCGGCATTTTAGTCGCCTCATACGACACGCATGGCTTACGGAGGAAAGATTCTTTTCCACTTCCCCATGGACAATAGAAGAAATAAAAAAGAACAAGAGCTATTTAGAATAAGGAGAAAAACCTAGATGTATGTATATAAATATATGCATGTGCGTGTCTGTGAAGTGTGACCAAAGTGTAAGTAGGAGTAGCAAGATATCCCTGTTATCTAGCGTGTTTATGAGACAGAAAAAGAAAACCAGCAATCCTACCATCATGCAAAACAGTTACAGGTTTTTGTTTCACAGTCATCTGGCAGGACGGTAGTACTTCCCTGGGTGGTTGCTGTCTACCAACCTACTACCTATATATATATATATATATATATATATATATATATATATATATATATATATATATATATATATATATATATATATATGTATGTATGTATATATATATATATATATAATATATATATATATATATATATATATATATATATATATATATATATATATAGGATGGGGTCCACCTCTGGTGTAAATTGTGGGACCCATAGCCTCGGAGAAGTGGATAAAAAGGCTTCAAGGAAGAATATTTGGATTTCTTCCTGAAGCCGTTTGAATATTCCACTTCCCCTACCACCCCATCTTTTCATATATATATATATATATTTTTTTTACCAATAGGAATATTTTATTACATAATATGGTACAGAAGATTTAAGAGATACATTGTTGATATAAAGGTGGCAAATAAGGTACATGTTGTTACGTGCGTATCACCGATTATAAGGCGAAAATCTCATCCAGCTCCTCAGAGCTGGGGCGTGTGCCCAAAATACAGCAGGCATTACCCCTTTGAACAGCCGCACTGAGCCGCTGGAACAGAAAACTAGCTGCCCCGGGATCCCTAGTTACCTTGATGAGTCTTTTTCCCAGCTCCTTAAGGAATTTAGATGCACTCTTTCCCCATGAGCCAAGGGTCTCTGAGCCTTATATATATATATATATATATATATATATATATATATATATATATATATATATATATATATATATATATATATATATATATATGTGTGTGTGTGTGTGTGTGTGTTTGTGTGTGTGTGTGTGTGGAGGACAAGCCACGGGGGGGGGGTTGAAATCTTTAGCTCAAGTACTTTCACAATTCTCAGTACGTCATCAGGAGTTGTGCAATGTTGCAAGGGAGCAACCAAACCGGGGAGAGAGGTCTCAGAGTAGCGTAGGTGTCACCGGCCACGGTTACCCTTAGACTGGGTTAGTGGTTCGTGCCAACCCCACCCTACCATCATCCCCCTACTACCCGTATGGGATAGGAGGGTTTCTGAGATGTCAAGTATGAAATTATAAGATATACATATATGATCAGACTGGGTGGGTCATTGGGCTAATCCGGAGGGGGGGTCATTGGTCTAATCCGGGGGGGGGATATGGACCTGCTCCGCATGGGTCAGTAGGCCTGTTGCAGTGTTCCTTCTGTCTTATGTCTTATAAAAAAAGTCAGCCCAAAGTTTTTTCTAATCGTTTATTACAGGTTATATGGTTTGAGAAAATGAGTTTCTCGTTAGATACTGTAGACATGGATAGCTATTATTCTGTGTGACTTTTTCAAATAATGCAAGACAGGTATACAATGTGCTCTTTGTCTGTTTAATGTCCTGCTCTGGGGTGCTCGAATGTTCTACCCATGTACTCAGAAGTATCTCTTCCTAAATATTGTCTACTATTTTCTCAGTGGCTGTTAATATGCCATACGTTGGGACTTCTATCCCTATCCGATAATATTTCTATGATCTAAATTCTACTAATGCCCTTTAACCTCTCCTTACGTTATCTTGTGTGCTTGTCACTGTATGGTACATAAACAGCTACAGGCTTTATATAACCAACAAAACTGACGTAGTGTGAAGTTTTGGTACGCAGACACTGGACGGGCGTCACCAATCCATCAACCCACCTGGCATAATGAACAATCCTGTGATTTCGTATAGCATTGTTGTTTAAGATTGTGTACAATGGACTCTACTAAATAATTATTGAGCTTATACAACCATAATTCGAGTTGTATACTGTATTCCTTTCATGTTTCAAAAGGGAAGATTCAATTATGTTTCTTTCCATGACAGAACTGTTTGATACTATAATCTGGGCAGCATCCCACCCCGGTGGGTGATTACATGCACTAACGTGGTTAAAGATAGCATTCGACTCCTGCCCTGTCCTGACTGAGTATTTATGCTGGGCAATTCTGGTTTCCAGAAATTTACCTGTTTGACCGATATACTAGCACACCAAACAGGGACTAGAATGAAATTAGCCTAGAGTCATCCACACCTTCGTGTGTCCTTGGGCAGCGAGCACAGCATTCAGTTCCGCTGGATGCGCTACTCTTAAGGATCGTATGGTCCAGTGGATTAGGGCATCATGTGTTTTTGCCCGCCATGAGGCAGGCCAAAGCAGCATGGGTTCGAGTCCTTGGCTAGTGCAGTGTTGTTATTGATCAATATCACTCGTTCGTGGTCACAACAATATTAAAATACTGCTCGTTAAACTAGTACACAAACAGGGACTAGAATGAAATTAGCCTAGAGTCATCCACACCATCGTGTGTCCTTGGGTAGCGAGTACAACATCCAATTCCGCTGGATGTGCAACTCTTAAGGATCGTATGGTCCAGTGGATTAGGACGTCATGTGTTTTCACCCACCATGAGGCAGGCCAAAGCAGCATGGGTTCGAGTCTTTGGCTAGTGCAGTGTTGTTATTGATCCATACCACTCGTTCGTGGTCACAATAATATAAAATACTGCTCGTTGAGCTAGTACACCAAACAGGGACTAGAATGAAATTAGCCTAGAGTCATCCACACCAACGTTTGTTCTTTGGTAGCGAGTACAACATCCAGTTCTCCTGGATGCACTACTCTTAAGGATCGTATGGGTCAGTAGATTAGGGCGTCATGTGTTTTCGCCCACCATGAGGCAGGCCAAAGCAGCATAGGTTCGAGTCTTTGGCTAGTGCAGTGTTGTTTTATACATGTAAAGAAATTTAATATCTTTCAACAACAGGGAGGAATCGAGTCAAGCAACTCTTCTGTACCTCTGACCGCGTACGTGATGATCGCAATGCTGGAAGCCGATGATGAATCGTGTAGCCTGTCTGTTTGTCAGGCTACTCAGTGTCTACATGCTGACACCACTCAGCACCCTTATATCTTGGCGCTGAAGGCCTATGTTTTCGCCCTGGCTAAGGTTCCAGAGGCCGAAACCGTTCTCCAACAGTTGTTGAAGCTGGCCATTGTTTCTAAGAACTCCACCCACTGGGAGCTGCCTAAGGGTCCAGGTATGCTGGGGTGAATGATATGCTGTAGTTAAAAAATAAATTATGTCCCTAATTAACTGAAATACATAGATTAGAAAAAAGCCTAAATGAAAGCTATGCACATGTTTAAAATCTGTTTGAATAACTTCATTTTATCATTAAAATGTTAAATGATAGATATGTTAGGTTAATATTTACGGCTTATATATTTACTAATTTCTCAAAAAAAAAATTTTTAAGCTATGTAAATTTTGCTTTATTGCATTTTCATACCACAATTAAGTTTTAAAATTCTCATTTCAATTTAGGTACCTAATAATAAAGACTGTCAAATTCGGTATACAAAGCATCTTTTTTATTACCAGGAAAATCTAAGGCAGTGGCAGTGGAGACAGCTGGTTACGCTATCATGGCTATGATGACACTGGACTCTGTCAAGTATCGGGATCAAGCAAGGAAGGTTGTTAAATGGATAACAACCCAAAGAAACGGACAAGGAGGATTCTACTCCACACAGGTAACATTACAATTATTTACGTTCTCCTACTGTTATTTGCAGCAACTATTTCATTCTTCTTTGTTTAGTGTTCTTCGATAATCTTTCATTTTTGTATTAAGGTGTAAAAACATTATCTTAACTGAGGTAAAATGTTCTAAAACACTCGTCTAGTCTCTCTCCAAGAATGTCTCTCAATGTTGAAGATAAGTATAGCCAACAAATGGTAAAAAGGCATATAGCAAAAGGAGACCTTTAATGGTGCTAGGTTTCACATACATGGAACCTTTTTAGGTTCAAAGAAACCAAAGACCTAAATATAGTGCCGATAAATGGTGGAGTCAGGTGCTGGGCGAGAGTTGAAGTAGGTGACGTGACCTCTCCGGCAGTGCCAGAGGTCATGTAACGTCGAATGTTGCTTGAATCACGAGGCTACGTTTTAATAATTTGTGTTTCATGTTGAGGAAATACAACACTTTGGCAACACCTGGATATCTTTTCTGTAGAAGCGTTATACCTGCATCAGGCTTCTTCATTTGAAAAACAGGAAACTCTGGAAACAACAGAAGTAGTACCTTTGACAAGTTTTCATCTTGTCGTAATTGCATAATATCAAAACGTGATACAGATTTGTCTGTCACGGCAACACCATCGTAATTTATCTTAATACTGGGGAAGATATCTGCAATTCCTTTGTTAAATACAACTGTTTATCTGGAGTTTATCTGGAGAGAGTTCCGGGGGTCAACGCCCCCGCGGCCCGGTCTGTGACCAGGCCTCCTTAGGTCAGTGTCCCAGGATGCGACCCACACCAGTCGACTAACACCCAGGTACCCATTTTACTGATGGGGAACATAGACAACAGGTGGAAAGAAACACGTCCAATGTTTCTACTCTGGCTGGGAATCGAACCCAGGCCCTCACCGTGTGAAGCGAGAGCGTTAACCACCAGGCCACCAGAGCCATGATCTATTAGCACTAGTGAAAAAAAAATCTCACAAGCATGAACCTTTACCAAGTTACAAACATATCTACCTGGGGAGTGAAGATGTGTGTATAAAAAGGTAGGGTAGTGCTCCGTATGAGTCACTGCAGAGTTCCACCGTACTGTACGAACTCTTAATAAATTGTCTCTAATGATTTGAGACAATAATTTACTGATTTGAGAAGGTATTAAAATAATGTGGTAAAGAGAGATAAGTGTATTGTAAACATTATTTGGCGTTTTTTAGTCGCGCCAGATATCAAAATGATGCTTAATATCCTGTTAGTGATAAGTTCATTTTAGATGCCCTTAGGAATTCTTAAGTCAAGACAGATACCTTAACACCCAAGAGAAAAAATAATAATTAACGTATGTCAAAATGATACGTAATATCCAGTGAGTGATAAACAACATTGTGTTTGAATACATTACCTTAAAATGTTATATTTCATTACTTGTACGAAAAATGTTATTTATATGATCCGTTACTTTTATAAATTATGCGCTAACGCGTTGCATTCTTCTCTTGTCTGGAGAACAGGACACAGTGGTAGCACTGCAGGCTCTAGCACTGTATGCTACGTACACTTACCAGGGACCTTTGTACGTTGTAGCATCAGTGAAAGGTACTGGCTTCTCCCACAGCTTCAATGTCACTGAAGACAACAGACTTCTACAACAGCTCGTAAAACTGCCAGTACTTCCTACCGCCGTCTCTGTCACACTGCAAGGACAAGGATGTGCTGTTCTGCAGGTAAAATTAAACTTGAAATATGAATGAATCAGTTTTATATAACAAACATGTGGAATATTAGGATTTTTTAAAGGAAACGTTTCGCCAAGAATTGTCTCTTGTCCTTAAGACTGAAGAATCCATGAGTAGAGACACTATAAGTCATATTTCCGATTAAAGTTATTTTATATCATGACATGACCATCAGTTTCACCCTGTGTACTAGAAGTGTGTCATGGAATTATTCACTTTTCGTGTATATTGCTGGGGAATAGTGATAATGTGTATAATCAAGCTGAGAGTACATTAACCTGAATGAAAATCAATAAATATTGTTGTTTCCAGGCTGTTCTTCGGTACAATATTCCCGAGGCTGAAGCAAGTGATGCCTTTGATATGACTGTCAACACCATCACAGTCCCGGACAACAAGTGTGTTACTAAACGTATCACTGCCTGTGCTTCCTATATACTCCCAGATGGCAAGTCTAACATGGTAGTTATCGAAGTAGATCTCATTTCCGGTTACATTCCCGAGAAAGAAGATCTTATGAAGCTTGTAAGGGATGATCTTAATATAAAGAGATATGAAGTTGATGGTAGCAAGATCACCTTCTACATTGAAGAATTAACTGCAAAGGACACCTGTGTAAACTTCCGTGTGATAAGGGACATTGATGTGGAGAATGTCAAGCCTGGGTCAGTCCGCATCTATGACTACTATAAACCAGAATTCCAGATTTTTAAGGTGAGTAACTTGCTCCATGATATTTGTAAGATGCAACCGTCATGTATAGCCGTTGGTGTTTAGTAGGTGAGGGGCGATTTTTTATTTATTTTTTTTTTTTGGTAAGATTATACCCAAGGTTATTTTATTCGTTAAAAGGGTCTCATGTTTACCTGCATGGCCTTAGAGTGCAGAGGCCTGTTTAAGTTTTGGGAGAGTACTAATATGGTGTTTTTGCTTTCTAGTGGAGAGACCGGCAGAAAAAGGTTGGGGGGGGGGAGGTCATGGAGCCTCCGTGTTTATAAATAATAATATATATTGTTTTATTCATTAGTAGCAGTGTGCTTCTGAGCTAATGTGAGTGAATAAAGGTGATGTATCTAGGGTAAATTGTAGGTATTATATGTTCCTTTATTATTATTAATATATATATATATATATATATATATATATATATATATATATATATATATATATATATATATATATATATATATATATATATATATATATATATATATATATATATATAAATATATATATATATATATATATATATATATATATATATATATATATATATATATATATATATATATATATATATATATATATATATATATATATATATATTCTTTCTTTCAACACACCGGCCGAATCCCACCGAGGCGGGGTGGCCCAAAAGGAAAAACGAAAGTTTCTCCTTTTAAATTTAGTAATATATACAGGAGAAGGGGTTACTAGCCCCTTGCTCCCGGCATTTCAGTCGCCTCTTACAACACGCATGGCTTACGGATGAAGAATTCTGTTCCACTTCCCCATGGAGATAAGAGGAAATAAACAAGAACAAGAACTAGTAAGAAAAATACAAGAAAACCCAGAAGGGTGTGTGTATATATATGCTTGTACATGTATGTGTAGTGTGACCTAAGTGTAAGGAGGAGGAGCAAGACGTACCTGAAACCTTGCATGTTTATGAGACAGAAAAATGGACACCAGCAATCCTACCATCATGTAAAACATTTACAGGCTTTCGTTTTACACTTACTTGGCAGGACTGTAGTACCTCTCTGGCTGTTGCTGACTACCAACCTACTACCTACAATATAAATATATATATATATATATATATATATATATATATATATATATATATATATATATATATATATATATATATATATATATATATATATATATATATGTGTGTGTGTGTGTGTGTGTAATAAGATCACAGTAAACAGGTGATTTCAGAATATGCAAAACAACCACTCTGAAAGAATAGAGAAATTCCAAGCGCTTTCGTGACTACTCACATTATCAAGGAACTTGATAATGTGAGTAGTCACGAAAGCGCTTGGAATTTCTCTATACTTTCAGAGTGGTTGTTTTGCATATATATATATATATATATATATATATATATATATATATATATATATATATATATATATATATATATATATATATATATATGTTGAGAAATGGTTATCAGCTAAGTTTAAATACAGGGAAAACTTAACTTAGAAAGATAACTCATCGCCTGCACAGCCGCCCCTGCAGACGAGTATCCAAATATTGGTTATAAGTCTGAGACTCTTGTGGGCTTGGTTTATTTACATCAATACCTATCGCATCTAAATCCCACAACTTGTCAACTGGTTCATTCATTTCTTCCAATAATGATAATTTTTGCTGTGGTACATAATCAGCGGTTATTCTCGTAACTAGTACATTTTCCTCTGAATCAATATCAGCTTCTTTCCCACTTTGAGAGGGAATGGGACCACATATCATGTGGCCTCCTGCTGTTTTCAGCAAGTGAACATCATGTTTACTTTCTATATTTTGCACAAAACAGTGATAATAATCACTTACAATGATTAAATCAATTGGACTAATAGTGTCCGTCTGTATGTCAGGACAGGCTAACTTGACCTTAGCTGCTTTCAGTGCTGCAACTGTTTCTTTTAATCCCTGGATCTGCACAGACTTAGGCAAATCATCTACTACCACAGTTTCTACTGTCTTTTTCCTGTTTCCTAGACCAACAGTGATTCTGGCTAGGTCATATGTCTGTTTACCAGAATTGTGGAAAAAACCAGCTATATCTAACTGTACTTTGGCATAGGGTTGTTTATTCAGTTTCTGCAGCACTGTTCTTCTTATGAAGGACCTTTGTGAGCCTTGATCAAATAATGTTAGCACATTGGTTTTGTGTAATTTATTAGATAAGTCAACTCGAGTTTTCGGGAGAGCAGTTGCTTTAAACTTATCTCTCACATTTAATGCTGTTGCTTGTTGACTTCCTGATTCTGTGGAAGTCTTCTGCTGTTCAGCAAAAGTATTTGGGCATAATGTTGTATGATGCATACCCTTGCATTTAAAACACTTCTTCAGTGAGCATTTTCCTCCCTTGTGTTCACCTAAACACTTGATGCACCTTTTCAGCTGATGAACACGTTGTTTACGTGCCTCAGTTGATGTGTATTGACTACAATACTGTCCCCAATGTGTTCCATCACAAAGTACACATTTTGGAGTACGTTTATGTGTGACAGGCTGTTTACTGTCTGTTGTATGCACAGCTTGATAAATGCCTATATGGGATTTCCCATTCTGTGGTTTAGTGGGAGTAGGTATACTCTTTTTATACTGAGTTGAAGGTTTGTTATCCACTGGATTTGTGGATTCTTCATCTTGTCTCGTTGCTTGCATGCATGAAACTATTGTTTGTTAACCATTGCTAATTTCTTCACAAGTGAAATAGCGTTTATTGAACATAATATTTAATCGCTCAATAGTTTGTGGTGACAACTTATACTGTACAATACCACTGATAAACCAATCACATTGCTTTAGGTCATATTTAGCACCTAGAGATCTGAGACTATTGTCTAATGTGATTCTAAATGCCTGCAAGTCTGAAAAACAATGTTTGGGTGGCTTCAAACTTGATATTAAGACTGCATGTCTAACTCTGGCCTTGTCAGCATCAAAGTAATTGTCTGCTAAGACACGTAAGGCTATTTGATAATTGCCTTCAACCACCGGAAATGACTTAATCAGTTCATAGGGTTCTCCCTTCACAAGACATTTAAGATAATTGAACTTAGCAATCTCATCTATGTCAGTTCGTGAATTTACTGTGGATTGAAAACCACTAATGAATTCTTCATAATTATGACCTTGGAAAATAGGTAATGACAATGTAGGTAAGCTTGGTAATGGGACACTTGTTGCTGTTACAGGTGTAACAGGTGTTTGACCACTAGTTACAGTAGGTCTCTGTGACAGAGTTTTGCGGCAGATAGCCTGTACTCCTGTCCAACTTAAATGTTGATTACTAAATGTACCCAAAACATTTTTAATTTCATCCTCAGATGGGTCTGAGAAATTTATTTTCATAATGTGCATAGTCTGAATTAATTATTTTCAGACGTTGTGCAAGTATTTCAAATTTGCCCTCAAGATCATCAAAATCTATGTTTGTATCTTGAGTTAATCCTATACAGACTGAAATTAGATTTTCTAATTGTGTAATCTTAGTCTGTAAAGACTGAAACTGAGTTTTCAAACAAGCCATTTTAATGGTATACTGAAAATTCCAGCACCACACTTAGAGTGTTTAAAAAACACTGTACTGCTATAAACAGCTCAGTTTTTGTTATGCTTAAGTCAGCAATAATCGAGTCAGACACTACTGACCTACTAAGCTTAACCTCAGGGTCAATGACCATGAAGGGTACAGAGTATATGTGGCTGGTGTTTATGGCTTGAGTTTGCTGTGTCAGCCTGACCACGATGATTAATCGTAAATAACGATGTTATACACTTCATTCACTATACACTATAAATGTCACTGTATAACTGTAAATCACACTTTAATATTACTTACACATATATAAATGTCACTGTTAATATGTATTTGAAAGCTTGCACTTTATATATAAGTTCTCTTAATATAACAGGTAGATCTATAAGAAACAAACTTTAACACAATCTTGTCTCTTAATTTCTGTTTATAAACATTATAAACACTATGTATATACACTCAGACAAACTGAACATCAGTTGGGTTGCTGTCTTAGTCAGCGCTTCTTCAAGCTTGGAGCAGTGGATGCCGGGTGCCATCCCCCGTTTTCTTGTTGGGTGAGTCACTCAGCTCCCGTTTTCTTTGGGTGAACGCTGGGTGAGCTCCCATTTTCTTTTGGCTGCCCATTCTCTGTGATTGAGTCTGGAGAGACTCATATATACTGAATTATATTGTAAAACACTAGTTTTACAGCTTTTTTCGAAGGACCTTGGCTCGTAGGTTATTTGTACACTGTAGTACAACATATTTGGACCACAGTGTGGCCTTTATCCGGTTCGAGCACGACCAAAATGTTGAGAAATGGTTATCAGCTAAGTTTAAATATAGGGAAAACTTAACTTAGAAAGACAACTCATCGCCTGCACGGCCGCCCCTGCAGACGAGGTCTTGAGAAGCTGTCAAAGTCATTCCTCAACGGGCTGAAATGAGTTATAATTTGTAAGATTATAAATTACCCCTAGGGGGTGTAATGTCAGCATATTTCATTCACTGATTGCTGACAAACTCACTTGTGTGGACTCAAAAGTCCGCCTCTTACTGCCGACTATAGGTTGATTACAAACTCCTTGCGACTCGAGAACTGCGCAGTCCCCCGTACTACAAGAAATTCGTAACCTACCTTGCTCTTGTAGCGTGAGCTATGGTGTTCTTCACAACTTCGACAGATATCGGTGACTTGATAGAAGCTGAAGTGTCCTTGGATGTCCACGTCTTCCATAGTCTAGGAAAACGCACGCTGGTACACTATGTTCCACAAGATTTGTCATTATTGTTCACAATCTTATTACTAAAGAAGCTGATCACACTTCTCTTAAGTGTTTATTGTGTTTTATAAGACACTTTGTTCACACTAACGCACAGATCAGTGTTCTTTGCTGGTTATCCTGGCGTCAGTGTCACTCTCAGTAGAGTCAAAAGTAATCTG